TTGTCGCTATACTTTTAATTTTAACGATGCTTCTCTCTCTCTTACAGATATTCGTCACGTATACGAATCACGACTCAACATGCCGCGCCTTTCGTAAGGTAAGACACAGATTATTTTTCGATAAAAATAATAGACGTTTCGACCATGCGGATTGTGGTCCTTTTCAAGGAATCTATTTTTCATCACAATCAGCCGGCACAATTTTCCTAATCCTAGCAGAACTAAGGAAGGCGGCGAGATTAGAAAAAACGTCTTCTTTAACTTAATTAATTTTTATTCGATTTTTACCGTAACTCTTTCGAGATGCATAAATGCGTTAAGTTATTTAAATAATTTTAATTGTATTGTACAATTTCGACACTAACGTACAGCGTAATTTAAAAAAAATTATTTTGCTGGTTGCGTGATCTTTTCGCTTGAATTTCCCGGTTTGTAGCTTAGAACCTAGGCTCTGCTATGATTAAGAGATATATAACTTTATGGAATCGTACGCTAAATTGCCGTAATAATTGCGTCTTCCTGACGCAAACATTTGTCGGTTTATCGGGCGATCATCGAGCGAGATTTACGGCCGAGCATTTAGCGAAGGCTTGGCAACATGTTTTCCAATTAACGGGAACAAAGGTGCGCGGCAGATTTTGCAAAGAAGTTCGCATTGTTCTATTCCGAAATGCACGCGAAACGCATGAGAGCGGTGCTATTTCGCATTCCATTGCTTCTAGATGCCAACGCGATGAGAGACAAAGAGAGAGAAATAGAGAGTGGATCGATGGCTCGTCGTCGCGGATGGTCGCCCGACTGTAATTGTTCCGGGAAACCGGAAGCGCATAATTACGTATCGTATGGAAAATTGCGCGCCGTTCGACGGCTTTTGCATGCATTCCGGGATGCGTGTGCCGCCCAGCTTTTGCAGCAATTCCAGCCGTGTCCATGTCGCACTGACAATTGAAAGTGCGCAAACATTTTCACGTTTACGAGATAACGAAATATCGTTAGTTAGCTCGCGATTTAACGTTTATAGCCGCGATGTTTGACACGAGGGTGTGGAATTTTCTAGCGTAAGATAAAAATTAATTGTTTTCTAAAATAAACGTAACACGGAAAGGTTAAACGCACCTTTATATCTACGTGAAAACTCCAACCTTTGTATCTATACGTAAGAATCAAGCACTCCCTTCTCATATCTCCAAATAAATAAACAATATCTTATCGGTACGTTCTTCTCCGAGATCATCACCTTATGAATAGAAATTAAAAAACTCGGTAATTATACAAATTTAAATTTACTGGCAATACTTTTACAACACCACAGTTTTAACTTGCGTAATAAATTTGGGAATAAAAATTGCCGTATATGTCACTGACTGACAAATCGGGCAGCGCTCGACAAGTTTGATCAAACGAGTTAACATTAGAAAAGACGTTTAATGAGATTGAAAGGTGATTTAACGAGCGTGAAAGGTGGATATGACGTATTAGCGAGTCTGCGCGCGCACTTGTTGCAAAGCCGGCCGACGATCTTTGAAATGGGACACGATATTCGCCCCAACTCGTGCGAACTTTTCCCCGTAAAAGGTCTTGACGGTTCCTCGAAATTGCACCGGCTGCCTTCCCGAGCGCGACATTTGCGAAATACGGCACCGTAAAAGGCGCAAAATTCGATATTAATTCCGGGTAAGCGCACGTTACTCCACAGGCCGTGTCAAGGCTGCGGGCTGCTGCTATCGATAAAACTATTTCGTGAGCAACGACGCTATCAATTCTCACCGAGACGGTTGTATTCCGAAATCGCGATAATCCGAAATCCAATAGTCTTCACCCTACATTTAACATCAAGCCGATTCAAGTGCCGTTTAACTTTAATGTTAACACGATACATTTAACCACAATACCTACACTGGTAGAAAAATATGTATGGTAGTATTTGATACTATAATTGCATAGTAAAATAATTGTGGTCAGGAATATCATTTTTATAGTAATTATTACTATAATATTAGCAATAGCAACCATATATGGTATATGCGAGGGTGAGTCAAAAATTATCTGCACTTTTCGTTCTACAATTTATTTACACAAAAATAGGGGTTCAATGTGTACACCATTTTTCAACATAGTCTCCTCCCTTGGCAATGCACTTGGTCTAGCCGTCCACAAGCTTGCGTATTCCTTCCGAGAAGAAGGTTTTCGATTGGTTGCAAAGCCACTTTTGCACCGCTTCCTGCAGCCTAGATCTTGCTCCCTTCGACTTTCATCTGTTTGGGCCGCTCAAGGATGCTTTGCGAGGTCGCTAATTTTCTACAGACGTAGACGTGCAGGAAGCGGTGCAAAAGTGGCTTTGCAACCAATCGAAAACCTTCTTCTCGGAAGGAATA